AGCAGTCACCTATTGTCCATGTGCTGTTCTCTCATGGCACTGGGCTCTGCTTGTCTGGCTGTGACCTTCTGTCCAACAGACGGGCTTCACCGTCTATAACCACCTGTTGTCGGGATGAGTCCTCTCTAGTGGGGTCATCCTCATCTACAAAGTGGTTCCGGGTTAGCTGGATTGTCAGAGCACTTTTCTCCACGGCATTTGCTCCAACCGCCACCGGTTTGCGCTCAGTCACTTCCCACTAGCAAGGACCACAAACGTGGCTGCCTCCGCATCAGATGGTTTCAGACACACAAGCATGAGAATTGTGGGAGAGCCCCGAACCTCCGTGAACAGCCCCCACCAGAAAGTGGCACTTCTGGCCCCCAATTTTGGTCACTTTATTGAAGATATCTGACCATCTCTTCTCTAAAAGCAGAGATTCTTTGACGCACGCGTATTCTTGAATGATCACAGCTTGCAGATATTAGTGACCATCCCTTCATGTGAATGAGCATCCGTATGGTATTGAAATTCCCCCACAAGCCAGAGTTAGCTTGAAGACTGGAGCTGTCTTATTAAGGGGGAAGGTGGTAGCTAAGGTCTTAGGGAGGAAGGGACTTGTCCAAGGTGTGATCGTTAGGTTTATTGTGCCAAACTGGCCAATAGGAATATATGGGATTAATCAGGCCACAGTGTGTTTGGACAGCAAAGAGATAAATAGCTTTGCAATGCCCGGCCCCCTCGCTTTCTCTCTGGTGATCGGACCAGCGTGCAGCTGCTTTAGCTAGTTTCCTGCCTCAACCTGTGAGCAACACTACCTGTGGGTCAAGCCAACCTGTGGATTGTGTAGCTGGAGACCTGCTTTGCCATGCCACTGGTGCATACATCACTTCAGCCTGGGGCTGGTGGATCTTGTCGCCTTGCATTGCTTGCATTCGATATCCCATCCGGGCCTGTTTCCCTAAGCTCCCAAACTACTGACTGCTGGTGGCCACCATCTTGTTTGTTGCCTGTGAACAGACTCTGCCTGTCTTGCTGTCTGCTTCCTTGGCCTTGGACGCAGCAGCCCACATGAGTTGAAGGACTTCCAATATATAACAGTTCCATGAAAATGAGTTGAACTGAGCCCTCTGTACTGCTGTGTGGACTAATTAGCTGTTATATTCCTTCTCACTGTATAAACCTATCTATCTATCTTTCTGTCTATCTATCTATCTATCTAGTCATGTGTCCTGGGTTTGTTTCTCTAATACCCCACTCCTGGTACCTTAATGTGTTAGTCCGGGTAGACTAGAGAAACAAATTCATGGACACTCATACATGTATAAGAATGAGCTTTATATACAAGAGCAATTGAGCATCAAGAAAACATCCTAGTCCAGTCCAGATCAAGTCCATAAGTCTGATATTAGCCCATATGTCCGATACCAATCTATAAAGTCCTCTTCAGACTCACGCAACACATGCAATGATGCCAAATGCAGGAAGATGGCAGGCCAGAAGGTGGGAAGTCCTGTGAATCTAGAGACAGTGGAAACATCTCGGTGCTGGCATGGATCTCCAAGTGGCTACTCTAGCTCCAGGGTTCTGGCTCCATCAGCGTGGCTCCATGTGGCTTGTTGACAGGAATGGCTAGCAGAGAGAGTGTGTGTTCCGCATCCAGGGAGGAAGACCGGAGTTCTCAGATCCTCAGCATCCAGGGAGGAAGACCGGAGTTCTCAGATCCTCAGCATCCAGGGAAGAAGACCGGAGTTCCCAGAATCCTCAGGAGAAGGCCATGACCACACAGAGGCGTTATTGGCGATGGCCTGATTGACAGGCCAGACTCTACCCCTTCGCTTAAGGTGGCAGGAGATTATGTGTCTGCCACACAAGGTCAACCATCGAGTCAAAAATAAGAGTCCTGGACGGTGGAGTGAACAAAGGCTGGGAGGACCCATTTAGTTGAGCTTTATTTCTACCTTAAGCAGGGACATCTAGTATACAAGTATCTGAGTACCAATGAACACTGGCTTATGCAACTGAAGAAATCTGTTGGGCTAGGTGGCCGGGAGCTGTAGGTGGTGGTGCAGCACATTAGTGGAAGAGACATGGGCACCAAGCAGGAAGGATTTGAACTGGTGACTGAAGCCGGCCAGGTTTTTTTTATCCTCCTTTCCCATATGTGTGAGTTGCTTTTCATTGTTGTTTATCTCTTTTCTTCTCCTATGAGTCTCCTCCTAGCCTTTGTAGGTGGACGTCTTCACATGGAGACCCAGTTAAGCAAATTCATCAGAAACAATGGTCTCTTTCTTCTCATCGCCTTGATGCTAATCCCAGGGAAGGAGTTTGATTGGTCCAGTATAACTAGACCCACCCTTTGGATTTGTCACTCTGTCCAGGGAGAAAGCAGTGTTCTTGTTGGTTTGACCTGGGTCATGTGTCTGTCCCAATGGTGGGTGGGTGGAGGTGGAGAACTATGACTGACAGTTTCATCAGAACAATATGAAATGTAGGGGAAACTCCCCAAAAGAAATAGGCAGTGTTATTCTTGAAAGAAGGGGGGAAGTCAACCTGGGAAGTTGGAAACAATGGGTCCTCAGAATCCAAGGGCTGAATCAGGAGATACCAGGGTCACGGTGTCCATGATCCCGCAGGGCAGGGCTCAGCTGGCACGATAGAATCAGATACCATCTCTCAGGTGTGATCATGAGCTGGAAGATGAGTCATCGGGCAAAGGTTCAGGACATAAGTCTGAGGGTGAAGGAGGTATGAGACTGGGTGTCTGGGTGGGACTTAGGAATAGGTGCTGGGATTAAACTCAAAAGG